CTTCGCGCACAAACCGCGCTCTGCTCGAGTCTCAGCAGAGAGACTATTAGAAATTGTACGTCCTGTTTTTGGGATGTATGGTTTCTGTACGCCAATTTCCCACCGGAAGCTTCGCTTAAATGTAAAAATTTTCTCAAGCAGCAGCTGCTGGAGTTGGAAAAATTGAACTTTTGCTGTTCGACTCGCAACATCGACCAATCAGAGGAGCCGATCTGGGAGCTGGCAGGGAGTCAGACACAGCAATGCTGATGCAGAGAGCTGTGATCACTCCTCTGAAACAGTTTATCAACTTATTATTAACTAAATTAACTTAAAATGTAGAAACCTGCAAGCAAAATATGCTCGCTTTTATTATTCTGGTGCGTGCAGTCTGTCCCACATTCCTGAAAAACGCTAACATCTACTTCCAACCACCACCAATAGTAGGGGAAAACCCCAAGAGGCGAGCGGGCCTGAGGCTGTATGGAAAGCCGAGCATCAATGATGCTCTTGAGGCGCGTCTAACCTTAATGTGTGCAAGCATCAAAAAATTAAGCGGCAGAGACTTTTTTTATGGCGTGGTGTGAACCTAGCATGACACTTTCTGATTGTTTGAATTAACCTACGAAACATAATATTGTACCTGAAAATGATCTCATGTCTTCCTTATAACATTTGTATCGCTAGTGAAGCACACATACTTCCCATAATCAGGACAAAAGTAGAGTTGAAACAAAGACCAAAAGTTAGCTGTATTTAGGGTCGCCAACTCCCTGAAAAAAAAAGGGACGCCTCATGTGAATGACTCCCTCTTGGAGTTTGCGTGTGAAATAATTCTTTTAACTATTTGACTCAAATCTGCACAGAATTAGATGCATGTTTGCAGTGTCCTTTACGTTCATTATAGCAAACTTTTTCCACCCAGGTATTTTTTTTTTTCCCGTTTCTCCCTATATTTCTGCATCATTTTTTTTTTCCGGAGGAGGATCATCGCTAGCCTTGTGAGACCATCATGATCTCGTGAGCTTTCGAGGTTTCACTCGCAGATCAGTCTGGAGACTCTCCGTTGAAGAAAATTTGA